CTGTCCACTTGGCCTACAGCTCTGGGAATGCTGACCTAGATGGCCGCAGGGATCAGCGTTTGCATGTGGAGTTGTGTGCAGATGATCCTCTGTTGGGGCATGGAAGTGTCTGCCCAGTGCTGCACTGCTGGGTCTCCAGTCCGCCCATGGGGGGTTTCCTCTGCATCCCCATCCCAGACCATGGGGCCTTGCAGTGGGGACACACCAACCCAGAACTTACAAGTTGCTGTCCTTTATAAAGTTTCTATCTCTGGTACCCGGCATTACGTTTTATGGCACACATGGGCCGGCCTGACAAAGTGACATTTATGTCAGATCTGGCCCTCATAACAAATGAGTTCAATACTTCTGCCCTATCAGATTTGAATGAAAATATTGTAAAATATTTTACCTTAGTGGTTTGTGTTTGGTATCCCAAGGACAGCAGACTGGTATTTGGTGTCCTGAGGAAGATGGCCAGTAAGATAAAGAGAGTAGAGCTAGTGCTTGGGAGCCCAGGGAAGGCATCCTTACTTTGTGCCTTCTCTGGGACTAGCCAAACCCAATTCCCCATTTCTTAATTATTGTGTACAGAAGACACATTAAATGTAGTGTTTCAAATATATATATGCAGATAAACCCATTCCAATTAGTCATTCACAAACAGATTAACTCACCATGTGTATGTACCACAGTCACACGCAAGATAGACGAATTCAGTGAAGACCCAGTATACCACCTATATGCTTTAAATGCCAAGGGAAAGGAATTGTTGGGAAAACAAACAGTAGCACTCAAAAAAAGAACCCGAAGTTGCTCAGTATCAGGAAGAACAGAACTAGCTTAATCAAGAAGGAGCTAGAAAGTATGCAATTTGTACAGATTTTAAAAAGCCCTCCCAAGCCACCAATAATTGGTGGAAACAATGACGAAGGAAGAAAAAGATTTACGCAATTCTTTTCCCCTTGCAACATTTCACTCTGATGATGGGAAATCTTCCCCGTGAGCTTCATCTCTTCCTCTTGCTCCCAGTCTGAACTCTTCTTAAACCAGACAGCCATGCTATAGGGAAACAGACGCTTTCAATGGTTTTCCTGTTTGCTTTCGAAGGGGCTTTTTATTTTTTTGTTGGCTTTAAAACAAATGCACATCTGTGTGTGTTAATACAAAAACTGGCCATCCCTGATGGTCTTGTCTCACAAAAATAATTTAAGCCATAAACCATTGGCGAATGCCAAAAAGATATTTTACATGGTGGAAATTGGGCTTAGGTGTTCTGAATTATAACCATACAGAAGAATAAGTGATTTTTTAAAAAATGTAGCCATTGTGACCAGTGTTCCCTCTAAGCTGAGTTAGTGTGAGCTAGCTCACAGTTTTTTAGCCTCTGGCTCACACATTTTTGTCTTAGCTCAGGAAGGATGGCTCCAGAGCAAACTAATTTATGCAGTAGCCAAATTACTTGCTCACAACTTTAATGCCAGTAGCTCACAGAGTAGAATTTTTGCTCACAGGACTCCATAGCTTAGAGGGAACATTGATTGTGACTAGGATGTTCCATGCAAAAATGGCGAGTATGTGCTTAATGATCCATATTCTACACTCAGTGAATTTAGAAAAGGGATGTAAGAGTTTGGATTTTTAAGTGTGTTTGACTGAAACGTAAGTCTGTCATGGAGGAAAGGTCTAGGGAGGGAACAATCCTAAGCAGCAAAGGACTTCTTTAATAAGAAACAGCTTATACATGAACACGCATGAGGCTGCCTTATACTGAAGTCAGTACCATCTGCACAAACTGGCAGCAGCTCTGCAGGGTCTCAGGAAGAGGTCTTTCACTTCACCTGCTGTCTGGTCATTCCAACTGGAGGTACCAGGGATTGAACCTGGGACCTTCTGCATGCAAAGAAGAGGCACTTCCACTGAGCCCCAGCCCCTCCCCCAGTCAAGCAGTCTGAGTTTTTCAAAATTGTTTTTCCTTTGACAAGGGTAAGACCTCAGATCTGCAAGGTTCTGTAAACTTATTCACTTATTATGATTACAAAGTTCATAGCTTCAATTTTTTTGTCTAAACAGCGGTAAGCAAGTAACATACTGAAGCCTCTTAAATAGTGAAAAGCTTAATGTCACACAAATTAACACAGATTTACAAAATTTACAGTAATCCCAAATTGTCGTGAGGGCACAAACTCGTCATACACTTACAACTCGTTGAACTGCTTAAAACAGATCTGGTAAAGAAGACTGCGGTTGTCATTTTCTCCAGAGCTGAGATGATTCTGAGCTTGCCGTCTAAATGTTTATGTGCAAAGGGGGATTGCAGCAGATCAACTTTTCAGTATAGCATTCACAAAACGTAAGTAAGCAAGGGGCAAATGAATAAAATAGGTGGTCAATGTGTACAAGAAATGGAGATTTCATTCCGCACCTGTGATGCATTTTATGGCCAATATGTGAATCAGCGCTAACGTGTGGACCTTGTTCTTGTTGGTGATACCCCTTCTGCCAGGTTGTTAATATTGCTACTATTAAATGAACCGTCAACTTGCTTTGTCAAATGTAAGGAGCCCCGTCCCAGGGTTACGATTTTCAGGAGCAATCGTACCACCTTCACTGCATGTGAGCTTCAACACGTCTGCATGGGTAGATGCTTTTGTTTTAACATGCTGTAATGTTGTGGCAGTACTAGAGGATCAATGGAATACCTTGTTGGGTATTGGAACTCTGCATGCAAGAGGATCTGGGAGGGAAAGGGTCAGGCAGTAACCCTGGATTTTTTAATTTAGGGGGCCTTTAAATAAGTTGGGGGGCACACCCCACACATACCCTGACCCGCAGCCCCTGCAAGCAGGCCCTCTCCCACCCTTCCCTGTAACCAGCCAGGCATCCTTTTGGCAGGGGAGCCAATCCTGCCAGGGCAGGAAAGTGGCAAGCCTGCCCGAGGATGCTGTCTTCACTGCCTGCCTGTCGGCACAGTTCCTGCCCCTGGGAGCTATTTCTCCTCCTCCTCCTCCAGCTGTGGCTGAGTGGTGGGCTGCCAAGGCAGTAGAGCAGCAAGCCCACCTGAGGAGGCTGCCTTCATTGCCCGCCTGCCACTGCCACTCATCCCCCACCCCCGGGCTGTGTTGCGGTGGGCTCAAGATGAGAGCCAGTGAGTTGGCAGAACTCCATCAAAATGCCAACACTACTAACTACTAAAATACTTTGAGTCCAGTGAGAGAGAGGTGTGGGATTGGAAAGCAACGAAGGGCTTGATTTCTTGCCTGCTTGCCGGCAACGAGAGAGAATGGCTGCAGCCAGTGAGAGAGAACGTTGTGGGATTGGAGAGTGGCGTGGAACTTGCCAGTGACAAGCACGATAAAAAATTGGAAGTCGGGGAGCATGGGCTAGATGGGAAGTCGGGGGGAGGGCTTGGCAGTAAATCGGGGGGCCAGGCCCCGAGAGGCCTCACTGTAGCTACGGGCCAGGAACGGTAAAAGATAATTAGTTGCTGTAGATTTTCCAGGTTGTATGGCCGTGGTCTTGGCATTGTAGAACCTGACGTTTCGCCAGTAACTGTGACTGGCATCCTCAGAGGTATAACATAGAAAGATGGAGTACTCTCTGTGTCAAGGTGAGAATAAAAAGTTAGGCAGGTTAAGAGAATTCTCTCACTCGAGTACACTTGACAGTTGTCCTTGCCACTGTCCTCCCCAGTGGGAACTCAAAGTGGTTTATATCATTCTTCCCTCCTCCATATTATCCACACAACAACCCTGCGAGGTAAATTAGGTTGCATATATGTTGTCTGGCCCAAGGTCACTCAGCAAGTTTCCATGGCAGAGTAGTTGATTGAACCTGGATGTCACAGATCCTAGATCTCCTAAACGGTGCTGCCTCTGCAGTCAACCAAATTTTGGTTGAGGGTTGTAATTCAGTTTGCTTCTTTCAGCTTGTATTCATCTTAACGGGCAAATCTGATCTAAATCATCCTAATCCAGTGCTTGGGGTCTGGGGTAACTCAGATTCATCATTGTGGTGCTTGTGTAGCCCTATATGGGTACTGTGTGTGTGCAGGCTTCCTGCAGAGAGGTTTTTGAAAATCAAAAATGCCCAAGGGTGCCCCCTGTTTCCCCGATTTGTCCAGTATGGCAAGGAGAGGGAGGAGCGCCCTTCCCTCAGTTCTCTCTGTCTCTGCTGCCACTGAGAGAAGTTACTTCCTCCAACCTCCATTCTTCAAATCTTTCTCCAGACAGAAAAACAGAAAATGCGGGTCCTCTGGGTTGAAAATTCCATGCACAGATTACAGCGCACGATGCTTGCTTTCCAGGCAATTCATACCAAAAGCAAGGCACGACAGAGTCCCACACTTGAAACCTTATGAATAATGTTTATGAAACATGAAACCATTTGTTTAATTCAGCAAGAGTGATCCAAACCTGGAAGTAATTTCTCTTTAGGACTGGATCTTCATTCTGCCATCCAACATCTGATGAGGCTAGGTGTGTAACTTCCAGTGCTGGCTTGGGGTGGTGTATCCAGCAGCAAGCAAGCGTTGTCAGACAATGGTAATCAGTTGTACGGATATAAATGGACTGATGCGTCCTCTCCCAAGTGCCAGTGCTGTTGGAGTTGGGCAAATTACCATCTTGGGGATAGTTTACACATAAGTCTTAGCCGAGTGTTGCATGCACATATCTATGGATTAGCATTAGTGTTTCAGAGGATTTCCCAAGATAAGAAAGAAGTCTTTAAACAGAGAAACCTGACTGATCAAATGAACAAAGCATATAGTATTTCGTTTATCATAAGTATCTTTTGTGTTTAGGTGCCAGTGTGGCAACTGCAATTATGTCTAACTTTAAACAACTGAGAGCCGCAACATTAAGCTGCTGAGTTGGGCCACTGGTAAAGGACAGTTCCTTCAGGTTCCCCTCCCCCCTGTTTTTAATGGCACTTATATATACATTCTCTTTGCAAACTCATAGTAAAAGCAGTATGAAAACCCAGATGTAATTAATGACTGAGTAATTTCTTGGTTTTAGAGCTGGCCTACCCTGGATAACGCTACCCTAGACCTCTGTCGACCACGAAGCTTATAGCATCCCGTCTTTGAAATATTTCAGCATAACACAGGTGAGAAACTTGCTTATATTAAAACAATTCTCCTGGTACACTTAATTTTTAAAAAAAATTCTGCAATTTCCAATATGATTTTGAGTTTTTATAGATACGTATGTGTCTCTGTGTGTATGTATGTACGTCTGTGTGTGGATATATATAACGTGTATCCTCTGCTCTGTATGTATTTTAACTGTGGATCTTCGACGTGGTCTCTGTGCTTCACACCCATGGGATCTAGTGTGCACGCGCTGGATCGATCGGCATTGTAGCAAGCTCTTTAACGGATTTTTGCACCCAGTCCCTCGGGCATGCGCAGGAACCCCACCGCGCATGCCCAGAGGGGTGGGTGCGGACATCCCGCCAGTTCCTTTCTTACCGCCGCGTTGGAAGGACCTTTTCTCTATCGGTCTGATCGGTTCGATATTTTTGGCTATTTGCCTCACGGCTCTTTGGATTTTTCCTCACTTATCCACCTTTTTTGTGTTACTTCTTTGTTATCTACAAAAACTTAAAAAAAAAAAAGACTTTATTTTTCCTGAGGGGGGAAAGTTCCGTTTACCTCAAGTTGGCCTCCGGGCTCTACCCCCCCCTCTCCCCCTTCTTTCTCCACTACTTTCTTATTCTATGGAGAAAAAGTGGGACTTTTTTAACCGGTGTCAACGTTGCGGTAGTAAACTCGCACCGCCTGACTGCCACACCCTCTGTATTTTGTGTTTGGGAGAGTCTCACAGACCGGACTCTTGTCAGCACTGTGCAAGATTTTCAAACCAAACCTGAAAAAACAGAGCTGCGCGCCTCAAAGTGGCGCTCCTTGAATCGGCTCTAAATCCTTCCACAACGATGGATACCGAGAGACCTTCGACCTCGACGGCTCCGTTATTGAGGCCTGCCTCTGACATCGATCAACCAACGCCGAAGCCTCCGGCATCGAAGGCGCAATCCTCCGCCTCAACGCCGGTGAAGAAGAGGCCCAAGGCAATTAAGGATAAGTCCGCAAAAAAGGGTTCCTCTAAGCCCCTCAAAGCGGCAAAGAAGGTGAAAGTAGCGGCGTCCACACTGGGTGATGCCCCTATAGTGCCCCCCGCTCCATCAATATCGGAGACGCCCGCCCCTCCACCGATATCTACAATTCAAATTTTGGACTCTCCTATCAATGCCAACTGAGATACCTCTACGGCAATTATACACCATCCATGCCCTGGATGACTCCTGCGGGCTATTCCGACTGGGATCGCTATTCGACCTACTCTGCTCACAGATCAAGGTCACCCTATAAATCGAGACCTTCAGCATCGTTGTCTTGACCTCCGGCTGAAGATCCTTCCCACCATCAAACGGAACCTCTAGGTCCTCCCACCCCCCAAGTCGTTCCACCAAAGGTTTTAACTAGTCAACCTGAGATTACTCCAGTGCAAATACCCGAACAGGTTTCGGAGACTTAGAGGTTTCGGAGATCCAAACCACTCCTGACCACAAGTCTCCTAACCAAGCTGTCGTGGAAGACCTCCCTATATCGCCATCCAACAATCTCACCTCCTATGCAGACCTTGTCAAACAGATGGCCCATTCTTTAGGTGTCTCTGTTGTTCAACAACAGCCACAGGTTACTGATCCTGTTTTTGATATTGTGCAACTGGATACCTCCACTACTATCACACTCCCCATGTCTGCAGTCCTCTTACAAGCTATCAAGGCTCCATGGGAAAAGCCGTCTTCAGCCCCGGTGTCGACGAGACGTCTGGACCACATGTACAGAGTCCAGGAGACAGGTGCCAAATTCTTATTTTCCCACCCTCAACACATCCTTGTCCAAGTCGAAACGAACACACTCGGCACCCTCTGACAGGGAAATTAGGAAATTAGACGCATTCGGGAGACGCTTCTACTCCACGGGTGCATTAGGGGTCAAAACCACTAACTACCTAGCCTGCATGAGCAGATATCAATATACTCTGTGGGAAAGGTTCTCCAACCTCCTGACCCACCTCCCTGAAGACAAGCTTCAGGCGGCCAGGATTATTCAAAAGAAAGGCATGGTCCTTGCAAAACAGCAGATCAACACTTCCAAACATGCCTTAGATGCTTCCTCCAGAACAATGGCCTCAGCAATCACTCTGAGGAGACACTCCTGGCTCCGCAATACCAATCTTCCACAAGATACTAGACCCTATGTCGAAGACCTTTCTTTTGATGGCCTCGGTCTCTTTAACAGCACGACCGACACCATGCTCCAGGATATAGATAAGAGCATAAAGGCCTCTCGCGCTCTAGGAGTATCATCCTCCACGAGGCAACAATTTCGCCCTCGCACCTGGACTAGGCCCTGGCAAAGACGCACCCCAAATTGTCAGTCTCCAGACAGGCAGTGGAGACCACGTATGGCTTCCGGTGGTCAAAGACCCGCCTTTCAGAAGCCTAAGTTTGGAACGGGACAACAGCCCTCATGCACCAAACAACCACGGTCCTCCAAGCAGGGCTTTTGACTTCCCTACTACCGAGTCAGTTCTAACCTGTCTGTCACCCTTCCTTTATGCCTGGCGTCACATCACCTCGGACCAATGGGTACTATCCATCATAACCCAAGGCTACCGTATTCAATTCGACCAGAACCCCAACACTCCAGTCGTCATCACCACACCTCCTTCCCCACCTCTTCTAGACAAGGTGTCCGTCCTCCTGCACAAGGGAGCCATCGAGCGGGTACCACCACACCTCCGCAGGATGGGATTTTATTCCCGATATTTCACAGTCCCGAAGAGAGATGGAGGCGTTCAACCCATATTAGATCTACGGGTACTGAACTGTTGTGTCACCTACCACCGCTTCCGTATGGTGTCCTTATAGCAGATTATGCACTTCTACAGAGAAACGTCTGGATGGCCACCCCCCACCCCCCAACTTCCACCTCACCATCCACCCCTCCTACCGCCAGTACCTACGCTTCACGATTGGTCAACAACATTACCAATATGCAGCCCTACCATTCGGCCTTTCGAGTGCCCCAAGAGTCTTCACAAAGACTATGATTGTGGTGGCAGCCTTCCTTCGTCTCAAGGGTATCTCCATCTACCCATACATCGACGATTGGCTCCTAGTAGCGTCATCCAAGGACACTCTGGTCTCAAACATCGAGACAATGGTACTCTTGGAAGTTCTGGGCTTGCAAATCAATCTCCAGAAGTCTCAGCTTCAACTGGCCCAGCGGATACAATACATCGGTGCCCTGCTGGATTCCGAGACATGCATGGCTTACCTACCCCAAGACAGAGTGACAGATATCATCCACCTAGCTACCGTCGTTCGTACCCAACCCTTGGTCACGGCCTTACAGATACAGAAGCTACTCAGCCTTATGGCTGCGACTACGTCGGTCCTGGTCTTCGCGAAACTAAAAATGTGCAATCTACAACTGTGGTTCATCCGCAACTTCGATACCTCGAAGAACACACACACCACCATCCTAACCCCTCCTACCAACATATGAGAGTCCTTACTTTGGTGGACTGTCCCCTCCAATCTTTTCCAAGGGGCGCCCTTCCATCCGCCTTCACCCCAACTCACTCTAACGACAGATGCTTCCCTGATGGGATGGGGTGCACACACAATGGGCCTTTCTGTTGGAGGGAAATGGGATGCGCAGAAGAGGAAGCGACACATAAACTTCATAGAACTGCTAGCTATACAACATGCTGTCACCAGCTTCCTACCAGGGGAAAGTGTGTCACAATCCTCATGGACAACACCACGGCGCTCTCTTATGTCAGCAAGCAGGGAGGCACTGTTTCCCTATGCCTCTGCAACCTTGCCATCCAGTTGTGGGACCTTTGTGTCACCAACAACATTTTCCTCGTAGCCACTCACATCCCTGGACACATGAACGTGCAGGCAGACCATCTAAGTCGAGCAGGACTCAGCCTTCACGAGTGGGAGTTGAACCCAACACCCCTCCTCCCACTCTTCCGCAGGTGGGGATTTCCCCCAGTCGATGTTTTTGCCACCAGAAACAACAAAAAGTGTCCTCTGTTCTGCAGTTGAGGAGGCAGGGACCCACAATCTCTGGGAGACGGTCTCCTTTACCCTTGGTCCACGGGACTTCTTTACCTGTTCCCTCCCTTACCTCTACTTCTGAGAGTGGTCCGCAAAATAGAGACAGCACGGACTGTATATTGATAACCCCATGGTGGCCGAGGCAACCATGGTTTTCGACAGTCCTCGAATTATCAACAGGAATATACCATCAATTCCCCCGGCTCAGGACCTCCTCCTCCTGTCAGACTCCCTCTCCTACATCACGACATACCACAATTGAAATTAACAGCGTGGAAAATAACATCAACGGTTTTTCCACCCGCGTAACGAACGTCCTATTGAACACCTGGAAACCTGCTACGTGGAAGTCCTACAATTATAAATGGCGAAGGTTCTGTTCTTCCCTAGGTGATGACGCCCCTCGAACTACCTCTGTGGGTCTCGACAAGGTTTTACAATTCCTCCTGTCCCTAGCTGACTCGGGACTTTCCCATTCATCCTTAAGAGTTTATTTGGCCGCCCTTTCGGCCTACCATGTTCCAATCGATGGATGCATACTGTTTTCCCATCCGCTTTCTAAACATTTTTTAAAAGGTTTATTGCATATATACTCTCCTGTTAAAACTCCTGTTGTTCCCTGGGACCTTCCTCTATTTCTCCGCCAGCTCACGAGGAAGCCCTTTGAGCCGCTCACAACATGCGACCTCAAACTGCTAGCGTGGAGAATGGCCTTTTTAATTGCTGTCACCTCGGCTAGACGAGTGGGAGAAATATTGGCTTTCCAGCACGATAAACCTTACCTGTCATTTTTGCCAGACGGAGTCCGCCTCGTACCGGACATCTCCTTCCTGCCGAAGGTGGTGTCAGAGTTCCACCTGCAGGCGGAGGTCTTCCTCCCTGATTTGTTCCCAAATCCGACATCCGCGGAGGACAAACTCTTACACACTTTGGATGTGAAGCGGGCTCTCCTGTTTTACCTCAAT